CTCTCTCTCTCTCTCTCTCTCTCTCTCTCTCTCTCTCTCTCTCTCTCTCTCTCTCTCTCTCACATAGACACACACACACTCCTCCAAACAAACAACAAAAACTAAAATCTTAAGAAAATATACCATACACCTGGGCATGGTGGTGTACACCTTTAATTCCAGCACTCAAGAAGCAAAGGCAAGTGGATCTCTGTGAGTTTGAGGCCAGCCTGGTCTACATAGTTAATTTCAGGACAGCCAGGGCTACACAGAGAAACCTTATCTCAAAAAATAAAAACAAAACTCCTCAAACAAAAAAAAAAATAAACCAAAAACTTGTACAGAGGGTTGGAAGATGGATAGCTCTTTTGGTAAAGTCTTTGCAAAGCAAGCCTGGTGACCCAAACTATCTCATCCCTGAATCTCATGGACCATACAAGAAAGCTGACTATGGTGGCATGTGCTTGAAATCCTAGCACAAGGAAGAAGAAAAAGATGACTTTTTGCTTTTGTTTGCTGTTGAATTTCATGCCAGTGAGAGACAAGGTGTACAGTGCTTAAGGAACACCACCTAAGGGTCACCTGACACCTCTCTCTCTCTCCCTCCCCCCTCTCTCTCCTTCTCCCTTCCTCCCTCCCTCCCCCCCCCACTCACACACACCTGAAGAAAAAGGCTTATTCAGGCAAATTAGAAAATATTTACTAAATGATACATTATACACTTAAAATCACACATTTATTTATAAGGAGAAAGAGAAATTAAAATGCACCGCTATCTTTTTTTAGTTATTACATGAATGAACTTCGGGCCTCTCCTACAGAATGAGGAGAAACAATTCATGAGGTCACTCTAGTGCGGCTAGGTTCCAGGTCAGTGCGTGATAGAAGGAAGGAGAATGCACTTATTTTAGTAGCACGCTTAGCATATAGCTGACCTAAAGTTACAAACGTCACCTTTTTGAAGACAGTTTGTGTCAGTCTGTCTTGCAGACCTCACATGTCAAGGGTATGTTCACTGGCCTGCTCTGTGACATTGGAAGCCCATTTTACTCCACTGCCACTAACTTCCTAGGCCAGCGTGCAGGGATGAGTCCTTCCTCTCCCCATCACAGCCATGAATTCTGTTGAGAAAAGATCTCATCCTGAACCTCAAACTCACAGCAATCCTTCTGCCTCCTAAGTGCTGTGATTCCAGCTGTCAGCCAGCAGATCTGGTCACAATTATCATGTGATAAGGACTCTGGACCCTCCTTAGGTCCTTTAACGGTACCAGCAGTCTCCAGCTGGCCAAGGGACAATTTCAGCAGACCACAGCATGAGTCTGAAGAACAAAACAAAATGCTCGAGGCCCTCTAATGGTTTAGATGCTAAACATTAGAAGGAAGACAGGTTTCACACCATGGAGTTAAAAAGATTGGGAAAGGAGACAGATTGAAATCATTAATTTAACAAAAAGCCCACTGACCATGGACACTTGGCTGCTAAGGGAAGGTGCTCTCAGGTGATTAACTCCACAAGGCTATGGCTGATGCTGATAAAAAGCGATAGTTATCTCACATGGAAGGTTTTATAGAAAAGCTGAAAACAGCCAGGTGGTGGTGTCATAGACTTTAATCCCATCCCAGCACACGGAAGGCAGATGCAGGCAGATCTCTGTGAGTTCAAGGCCAGCCTGGTCTACAAGAGTGAGTTCCAGGACAGGGTCCAAAAACTATAGAGAAACCCTGTCTTAGAAAAATAAAAAACGAAAACAGAAAAGCTGAAAACAATCACGAGTAGAAATATATATGAACTGGTCTCTCTATATTGCTTGAGACAGGGTTTTGGTATATAGTCCTGGCTGGCCTTGAGCTCACAAAGGTCCACCATAATCATATCTTCAGATCTAGGGACAGATGGACATTGGCACTCCTTTTTGTCTGTGGCAAGAGGCCGTTTGTTTGTTTCCCAGCCGCCCAGCAGTTCAGACCCGAAATAATCACACAGAAACTATATTACTTAAAACACTGCTCGGCCAATGACTCTAGCATATTTCTGGCTAACTCATATCTTAAATTAACCCATCTCCATTAATCTGTGTATTGCCACGAGGCTGTGGCTTACTGGGTAATGTTCCAGCGTCTATCTCTGGCAGCTACATGGTGTCTCTCTGATTCCGTATTGTCGGAAAGGTTGGGTATTTTGTGACAGGAGTGTGTACAAGTCGCTACATGATCAGTAATCATGCTGTTACCATTTTCAGTTTCTCGGCCCAGTGGTAGAGATCAACCCAGGGCCCTGAGAGAGGAGAGCAGGTACTTAACCACTGGGCCACCCCCACAGCCCGGATGTTTGTTTTGCTTATGATACTGTAGACTCCAGATGTTAAAGGAAGGGTCCCAACATGGTACACAAGCCATCTTTTAAGGCAAAAAGGTACTGGCATTTTAGTTTTTTACCTTACTATTAAAAAAAGACCCATTTACCATCTTCAAAATATGTGAATTTGATTTTAAGATAGTCAAGTACTCTATGACTTCAGTGATTTTATTGGAAGTACCAACACAAGGAAAAATTGTTCTAAAAATCAATTTTAATTAATGCTTCTAAATATTTTCATTTGGAAGATGAAGGGAATCAACATGCCTAGCTGCTAAAATTGTACCCGGGATTTTTCTTGGTCAAGTTGTCTTACAGAAGGTTAGTATCATTTGTGGGTCTAAGTCCTCAAACTAGGTGGGCACTTTGTAGAAACACAGAGACTGGGTGGAGGTCCCAGGTGGTTATTCCCATAGGCAGAGGGCTCAGTGGAAAGGTTTTTGTTTGTGTGATACTCAGGCCCACCAACTCCACATGGGTTCCCTCCCCATCAACTATCTGGATGGCCTTGAGTCGTGGAGAGAATTTGTCCCCACCAGAGATGGAAAGTAGGTGGGGAAGAACGGCTCATCCAATATCTACACTTGCAGGTGTCAAGTCCAGCAGTTCTGTCTGAATCCTTCTACTGAAATACAGGACAAGAACAGAGGCCATTTCTGGATCTAACACGGGTCGTTTTCAGGGAGAGAGAGCTACAGTGTGCTCAGTGTGTGTGCAGGCATGTCCACAATGACTGACATGTAGAGGTGTGGAAGGACCCTTCCTCCTGCCACCAGCCCAGGGTTCCTTCACATCTGAATTCACATTACGGCCTTGGAGTAAGAAACACAGCAAATGAGTAAACAGAAGGCAGCCGTTCTGAGGCTGACATTCTACCCACATCTGTGCACAGACTCGCGAAAGGAGAAATGCAGGTTTCTTCCCCTCCCAGCACAGCAGTCCAAGGCTCAAGTTCACAATTAGTCTGCCGTGTTAAGACTACAACTCAGCAGACAGCTCACAGAACTTCAGAGGTGTTGCTCTTACCAAAATGTGGAACACAGATATTTTTTCCCATTGAAACTAAAATTTCTTAAGACCCACATTTGAACACACATGTTAAATTACATACTGTGTAATCAACAACATTCCTTAGGAGTTTAAAAGAGGCTTTTGAATCTTTTCATTACAACTGAGTAGAATTCCTTTTTCAGTTTCTTTAGAGTTGCCGAACTTTTTTTTCTGTGCTTTTTATATTGATATCTAACTTGTCCACTTTGGTTGTAAGCCGGTCAAGAATGTCGTCCTGCTCCTCAATTTCCGTCTGCATTCCTAAGGCTATGTTCTTGAGTCGGCCCAGTCCCATGGACAGCTCATCTGTGGAAAGGAAGTGACAGGCAGTCACAGTATCTCCAGGTGCTTCCTGCCCCTCTGGATGCTCAGTGGCATCTGGACTCTAGAGTCCTGTCTAAGAGACTGTCACAGCTTGTAGCGAATGTCTCAAAACACAGACATGAAGAGAAATCTTCTTACTACAGAGTACTATGTGGTTAACCTAAGTAGAAGCCACTACCTATCTCCTCTCCCCAGACAACCACAGGTAGTATGTTGTTTATATGTGTGTGTTTTAGCATAGTCTTGATAGACAGCTCTGGGTGGCCTGAAACTCACTATCAATCCAGGCTGGCCTTGAAGTCACAGGGACCTCCCTGCTTCTGCTGCCTGAGAAGATCATAGGGCCACTAAACACAAACAGCATCTTCCTCCATAGTGCTGGAGAATCAAACCTAGGGCCTTGCATGTGCTCGGAAGCACTCTGATACTGAGTCACACCCTCAGTTTCCTTATATTTTTCATTTCGAGACAGGATCTCACTCATTTTCCAGGCTGGCCCAGGATTTGCAATCCTATTGTAGCCACAATTGCTGGGATTATAGGGGTTTGCCACTAAGCTTTTTGAGATCTTTGTGACCTTGTGTTTCCTGGAAAGTAAAAGTTTAATGGGCATTCACCCAGGCCTCATGAAGCTTCTTGGGTTTGAGGACAGTAAGGACAGGAAAAAAAGGTTGAGCTAAAACAGCCTGGTAGGTTGTGGGACACGCTTCTGGTGTGAGCACTTGCTGAACAAGCATGAAGATCTGAGTTCAGATGCTTTGCACCCACATAAGCCATGCGGCTTTATCCTGGATACAGGATATAAGCCCCAGAGATGCCTGGGTCTGGTCAGGAGTCAACTAAGCGGTGAGGATGACTTGGCTGACGGACAGCAGGAAATGGAGAGAAGTGGACGGGTTCCTGAGAGAGCGGGGCAGTAAGATGGACACGACGTGTGGGCTATGACATGGGGAGGAAGCAAGGATGTGGCTGGGCACCCAGGCTGTGCCCAGCATAAGTTGTCTGGAGGCTGTGTAGTTCCCAGACTTACCTAGGTTGCTGTCGATCTTCTGGTGATAGGCACGAAGGCTCGCGTTCTTTGGGTAAACATCAGTAGTCACAGCAGAAGCGGGCTCTTTGGGGATGGGGTCTAGTCCAGAAAGAAACACCAGAGGGTCAGTTCACTGAAGATTGCTCTTCTGTGAAATTGGCCCATTCTTTTCCGAAGTCCTAGGAATCTGTCCCCAGGGATCACTCATATCAGGAAAGAATGAAAAGGGTGGGAGGAAGGAGGTGGCTGGCTTTGAGGCCATGCAGAGAGACAGGAGGGGAAGTGGGACAGGGTTACAGGCTGGAGAAGTCAAGTCTGTGCTCCAGCCAGTCCCTCAACATTAGCAGATTGATGACTCTCAACTTACAAGTCACCAGGTGAGATATGGAAAAAGGCATGTATGTAACAATACAACAGGGAACTGTCAATGCAGAGCTACAAGCTCACAGGCAAGCTCTGGGACACAGGTTGTTTTGTTTCTTTATGCTGAGGATTGGAACCAGGGCCCCATGCATGCTAGGCAAGCACTCTACAGCAGAGGTATTCCATGAACCCGTCTAACTCTTAATTTTGTGAGCTTGTATGTGAGCTTAGTTATGTGTGCTTTTGAGACAGGGCCTCACTATGTTGCACAAGCTAACCTCAAACTCTTGTGCTCAAGCTATTCCTATAATAGCCGGGACTACAGGTGCATGCTACTACATCTGGCAGAGCTGGCACAGATGGTTTAAAATCAAAGTTGTTAAACTATGTGTGCATGCCTGTAATCTAGCACTTGGAGCAAGACAGTCAGAATATTAATGAATTAGAGGCCAGACTGGGCTAAATGAGACTCAGTCTCAAAGGAAACAAAGTAAAACCATCAAACCATATAAGACATGAAACAAAGCAAAGATCAAACTGTTGCTTGGAGTGGTGGTTTGCAGGCGAAACCCCAACACTTGGGAGGCTGAGGCAGCAAAATCACGAATTCAAAGCCAGCCCGAGCTCTATTATAGTAAGATGATCTCAAAGAGACAAAAGGAAATGGAGTTAGGTTACAAAATTAAGCTTAAGATTGACTATTTATTTATTGCCTGCCTCCGAGCAGGCAAGTAAAAATGAATATGCTTTAAAAAAAATCCAACTAGCTGGGCCATGGTGGTACACATCTTTAATCCCAGCACTTGGGAGGCAGAGGTAGGCAGATCTCTAAATCAGCCTGATCTACATAGTAAGTTGCCTGGCAGCCAGGGCTAGAGAACCCCTGTCTCAAAAAGCCAAAAACCACAGAGAGGGAGAGCAAGGAAAGAGATACCTTCATAGAGGAAGCCTGGTGTGGAAAATCCTTCTGTATATGTGTTGCTTTTATTGGTTAATGAATAAAGAAGCTGCTTTTGGCCTGGCTATTTCCCCTTAAGCCATTGGCCAAAAGCAGCTTCTCTCATTTATTTTTATTTGTGCATGTGTGGTGTATATGCACACTTATGTGTGCAAGTGCCCATGCAGAGTCCTGTGGAAGCCAGAGAACAGAGTGTCTTCCTCTCCTGTTCTCCACGGTAGTGGTTTGAATGAAAATGGCCTCCCTGGGTTCATGTTTGAATACTTGGTTTCTACTTGATGGAACTGTTTGAAGAGGATTAGTAGGTGTGGCCTTTTGGAGGAGGTGTGCCACGTAGGGCGGGTTGTGAGGCTTCAAAAGCTTCCTACCATCCCCAGCGCTCTCTGCTTCCTGTTTGTGTTCAAAATGTGGGCTCTCAACTGCTGCCATTATGAACTCTAACCTCTAGAATCATAAGCCCAACCAAAAGCTCTCTTTCTAAGTTGCCTTCCTCGTCTTGGTGTTCTATCACAGCAACAGAAACGTTCACTACATCTGCCTTTGTTTCTAAGCCAGAGTCTCTCATAAAGCCTGAAGCTCATCATCTTGGCTAGACAAGCCAGCCAGCTGCTAGGATCCACCTGCCTCTGCCCTGTAATGCTGGGATTACAGATACACACAGAGTGGCATTTAAATGAGGGCTGGTGATTTGAACCCTGGTCCTCTGGCTTTCACAGCAAGCTCTCTTTGCCACTGAGCCATCTCTCTAGTCCCTCTCCTTATTTTTAAATTTTATTTTTAGCCTTGTCTTGTCTGAGATGGTCTCCTGTATCTCGAGCTGGCCTTGAACTTTCTAGGTAATCAAAGATGGCCTTGAGCACCTGATCCTCCAGGCCTACTAATATACCTGGTTGGTTAGTTGGCTGGTTTTAATGTCATCTTGCCACAAATTAGAATCACCTGCGTAGGGAGCCTCACCTGAAGACCTGTCCTGACCACCTTGACTGACGTGGGCAGACTCTGGGGGCACCCGCTAGGAGCCCAGATAAAGTTGATCTGCTCTGTTGCTGGGCTATTGAACCCTCCCTGAGAGTAGATCCAGTGTTTCCAAGCTTTTGTTTTAGATGTGCGACCAGAGGTTCTGCAGGACTCTTCCAGGCTTCGGTGACTAGATTGGGATTACTGAGGGAGTAAGCACTGGTGGGCCACTCCCAATAAGAGATGTCTGTGGTAGGACTTCTCCCACTGCTGAAGGTGTCGGCTTCAAGGACTGAGTGTCTCAGCTCTCAGGTGTGATTCTGCTGTTGTTACTATGTTGAAGTGATTCATTAAATTCTGACACACGTGCACACACGTACTCATCCCTCTGGTCTTGTTCCTCTAGATAACTCTGACTAAAGCACCTGGCATTTTCATTTGTTGTTTTTGGTTTTCTGAGAGTCTGGCTATATAATCTAGAATGACCCCAAACTCAAACTCACAATATCCCTTCCTTCACTTCCTGAGTGCTGGGACTACAAGCATAAGCCACTATACCAGGCTTATTTTCCAACTGTGAAAGACCCACATGCAGAAAATGGACCCAACATGACACCCCAGAATAAATTCTCTTATTTCAAGAGGCCATCTGATTAGCCACTCTAGTTACATACAAAACCATATTCTTTCGCTCTTAACATTCTCATGAACCCTGGGTGGAGGAAAATACCTCTAAGGGCCATTTTATTTACAACAAGGATTGTTCCTACAAATAAGGGTTTTTTTTTTTGGGGGGGGGTTCTTCTTGTTTTGTTTGTTGAGGCAGAGTTTCATATATCCCAGGCTAGCCTCAAGTTCAACATGTAACTGAGGCTAGACTCAAATCCTGATTGGCCCACCTTTACCTCCCAAGGGCTGAGATTATAGGTGTGTTATGTCATAACTAGCTTTACAATTGGCTTTTTACTACTAGAATTTCTCAGAGCTATACCAGTAGATGGTTCATGTTCAATGGGATACAGGTTCCCACTTCCTTAGCCAAACTCCATGGGGGAGCGAGGAAGGGAGGGAACCCCACCATAACACATACCTCTGGATCCCCAGAACACCTTGTGTCCCTGATGTCATCACCCAGCATGTGGTACTGTGGAGACAGCTATCCCCACACTGGTACTCCAGGGCCAACAGAGACCACCCCACAAGGACCCCCCCAAGTTCTCACGCACGTACTCACGCACCTTCACCATGCAGTCTTCTGAGGGTTGGGTGGCTAGCTTGGTACTTGCTCTCCTGCTCTCTACTTGTGTTTATGGCGTCTTTCAATCTTCAGATGGAAAGAAAACATGACAGGAAAACACATGACAATGTTACCTCTGCGCGAGTGTGCACAGAAGGGTCGCCCATCTTTTCCACCACACCTCTGTGTCACACACCCAAGGCTTCCCTTTGCTATCCACTCTGGAGCCACACAGTGGGCTGAGGAAGACCTTATTCAGGACAGGAAGTCCTGGGTCAGGTGGATGAAAAGTCCATGAACAGACCAAGTGGGTGCCTTTAATGAAGGATCAGCAAGTTATGACCTATGATCTATTTTCCTCTTTTTAGTGTAGTCCAGGCTAGCCTCAACCTCAACATGTAGCTGTTGAAGATCACCTTAGCTTCCTGATCTTTCTGCCTCCACCTTCCAAGTTCTGAGATTACACCTCACCTGGCCCCACATTTCTTTTATTGTGATAATAACATAAAAATCTATCACTCGGGCTGGAGAGATGGCTCAGTGGTTAAGAGCATTGCCTGCTCTTCCAAAGGTCCTGAGTTTAATTCCCAGCAACCACATGGTGTCTCATATCTGTAATGGAGTCTAGTGCCCTCTTCTGGCCTGCAGGCATACACACAGACGGAATGTTGTATACATAATAAATAAATAAATATTAAAAAAAAAATCTATCACTCACTTTTAACCTAAGCAAAGAATGGCTTTTAAATATGACCTGAATGACAGGTAATCAACTTAGAAATTTAAGTCTTCAAAAAACAAAAACAATAAACAAACCCAGAGTGACAGGGCTGGAGAGATGGCTCAGCAGTTAAAAGCACTTGCTTCTCGTCCAGAGGATGTCAAGTTCAGATCTAAGCACACACATTGGGAAGCTTACGACCATCTGTAACTCCAGCTCCATGGGATCTAACACTATTCTGACCTCTGTGGGTATCCACACACAAGACACACACACAGGCACAAATTCAAAACAAACAAAACAAAAAACTTAATTAAAAACACACAAAATAGGGTCTTTTTAAAAATTTTTATCATATGTGCATTAGTGTGTCAGGGCCCCTGGAACTGTAGTTATAGACAGCTGCAAGCTGCCATGTGGATGCTGGAAATTGAACCTGGGTCTTCTGGAAGACCAGTCAGTGCTTTTAACTGCTGAGTCATCTCTCCAGCCTGCACTTGTTTCTCTTGCAGAGGACCTGAGTTCAGTTCCCAGCACCCACATGGTGGCTCACAGACATCTGTAATTCCTTCTTGTAGTGGTGGCACATCCTTGTATTCTTGGCACTTAAAGATGGAGGTAGAAGGGCAAAGAATTCAAAGCTGGCCTTGGCTAAATTATCAGTTTAAGGCCAACTAGGGCTACATGAGACTCTAACTCACTCAGCCCTCAAAAGAATTTGCGGGAGGTAGTGGCAGAGAGAGAGAGAGAGAGAGAGAGAGAGAGAGAGAGAGAGAGAGAGAGAGAGAGAGAGAGAGAGAGAGAGCGCGAGCGAGCTGGACCAATACCATCACTGTGGCATGGGGGACTCTTCCTCAGGTGGTGCATCTTCTTCTACCACAAGAGCTAAGTGACCCTAACAGTGAGAACAGCTTTGGAAAAGAAGGGGCAGAAGCTTGCCAAAGGTCTAGAGCTGGCTTTTCAAATTATCTGAAGCTGCTCAGGAAGTCTGCTGTGAAGAAGTACAGCTCTGGGGAGAGTTACTAGCTCAAAACAATCACTTGGCAAAAGCACTTGCTGCAAATGTCCCAGCATACCAGTGCTGCAGAAGCTTCTGACTAAGCTGCCACCAGTCAGAGAACTGCAAGTGCTCAGAGACTGGCTGAAGACCAAGTGGAGTGAGAAAACAATGCCCACTACAGGGTATCCCACTGCCTGTCTCTGAAGCCCTTTGGAAGTGGAGATTTAGCCCAGGGCTTCCAATGCCAGGCAAGCACTCTGCTAATGGAGCTACACCCCCAATCCTTATATATCCAGACTTTACTAGTAAAACAGTATTTCAAACTGTGTGTGGAGGTGCGATACTATCCTCCCAGAATTTGGGAGATGACAGCAGGCGGATCAGGAATCCAAGGTCATGTTCAGTTAAATGGTAGTTTCAAGACCAGCCTTGGTTACCTGTTACTTATTTATCAAAAAATAAGACAAAATAAAGGCTTGTGAGAGAAGGCTCAGCAGGTAAAGGTTTGTCACTAAATGAAACAACATGAATCCAATCTTTAGGACCCACAGGGAGAAAGAAGAGAATAAATTCCTGCAAGTGTTCTGCACATGGCTGATTCCCCTCTCCACAACACGCACAAAACTGAAACCAAACCAAACCAAACCAAACCAAACCAAAAACACTTTAAAACAAAACAACATAGAACAAAAATGACCTGAAGCATGAATAGTGGCCATCAGTTTTTAACAAATACCCAATTCTTTTGTCTTTTATTTTTAAAGATGATTTTATATACACGAGTGTTTGCCTGCATGCATGTCTGGACACCATGTTTGTGCTCTGAGGTCAAAAGAGGACATCAAATTCCCTAGGACTGTTTTATGGATGGCTGAGAGCCACCACATGGGTGCTGGCAACTGAACCCAGGTCCTCTGCGAAAGCACAGTGCTCCACTGCTGAGCCATCTCTCAAATCCTGCCTTTTATTTCTGAACAGGCAGTGCCAAAGCCTGTCAGGTCCTTAAGGATGACTTCACTATATTTCCTCCCAAAAAATTTGAGGTAAACAATCTATAATTTTAAAATAGAAATTAATAGATAGATTAGATTAGATACAGAGAAGACGGATAAGAAGATTTTTTTACATTACTCATATCTATGATCCTTTTTCTGTGGTGGTGGTGGTGGTATGGAATCTAGAACTTTACACATGCTATGCAAGTCTTCTACCAATATACCACATCCCTAGCCCATACATGTATATGTTGTACGTATATATGGTATACTGAACTACATTTATTTATTTTTTGTGTGTATATAAGTGTAGAGATCAGAGGAAAAGCTGTTGAAGTTTGTTCTCTCTCTCCACCATGTAGATCCCAGGGACTGAACTTGAGTCATCAGGCTTGGCAGCAAGGGCCTTTACCTGCTGAGCCCACCTCATTAGAATTTATTTAAGGACCTGTCTCATAGCTGGTGTTAAAATCTAGGCCTTCTTGCCTTAGCTTCCTGAGTTGCTTTGATTACACGTATGCACCATCACATCTGGCTTTTAAAAAAAAAGATTTATTTATTATGTGTATAGTATTCTCAGCATTCTGTCTGCACGAATGCTTGCAGGCCAGAAGAGGGCACCAGATCTCATTACAGATGGCTGTGAGCCACCATGTGGTTGCTGGGAATTGAACTCAGGACCTTTGGAAGAGCAGGTAGTGCTCTTAGCCACTGAGCCATCTCTCCAGCCCCCACATCTGGCTTATTAGTATTTTTCTAAAACGAGGTTTTGCTAAATTGCCTACGGTTGCTTTGAACTTGCTATCTTCCTGCCTCAGTCCCTACAACAAGATTACACATAGGCCCCACTATGTCTGCCTTTTGGGATGAACTTGGTAAGGAAACATTCTATAAATGAGTCACATCTGTATTGATTAAACTTTCTAAGATTGGAGTCACAATGACTGGAGTAGGATTTCATCAGATGAACACAGTTGGGGGTAAATGGAGTAGCTTCTCTTTAAGCATGTCCGAGACAAGTCCCTTCTCACAGGTGACTAGAGTTCCAGGATGTCTGCCGTGGCTTCTTCCACAGAACCTGTTTCTACTGTTTACATATTCAGACCGCAGATGCTACACACTCACCTGCTGCTGGGCTGAGGGGCAATGCTGCCATTCTGTTCAGGTGGAGTCTCTACTGGTTTGGATTTGAAGTAGTTGATAAATCCTCCAAACACACTTTTAATGCTGTTGATATGTTTCTGGCTTGTCTTCAGATCCTGATCCATCTTGTCTACCATCTTCTCGGTGTGTTCTAGGACTCCTCGCTGCCGGACCAGCTCCTGCAGAAGGCAAGAGGCAGTAGCATCAAGCCATTCCCCCTACTTCCAAAATCACGGTATATTAAAGTCTGGGGCTAGGAATGAACGTAGCTCAGCCGGTAGAGCGCTTACCTGGCATGCACAAAATCCTGGTTGGATCCTTAGCATCAACCCGGCATGGACACATACACACCTATAATCCCACAAGGCTGGAGGATTAATTTAATGTTATAATTGGCTATAGAGTGACTTTGAGGCAAGCTTGGGCTAGGTGAGACCCAGTCTAAAAAAGTGTAGCCAGGAACAGTAGCCTACACTTTTAATGCCAGAACTCAGGAACTTGGGAGAAAGAGACAGATGCGCTTGTGTGACTTCTAGGCAGGCCCATGTTCTGTCTGGTTTCTTACAGGGCTGCTGTGGTCTCCATTCTTTTCTAAGGTATTAGCAAACAAAGTAACATCCCCCACCCTCAGACTTCTAGCCCAGTCAAGGCCACATAGAGAGACCTTGTTTAAAAAGAAGTTTAAAATTTTTTACTTATTCAATGCAATGCCCATCAAAATCCCAGCAAAATTCTTCAAAGACCTCGAAAGAACAGTACTCAACTTGATTTGGAAAATTAAAAAACCCAGGATAGCCAAAACAATCCTGTGCAATTAAAGAACTTCTGGAGGCATCACAATCCCTGACTTCAAACTCTACTACAGAGCTACAGCACAGACACTAAGAGAAACAATAAATAAATGGGACCTCCTGAAACTGAAAAGCTTCTGTAAAGCAAAGGACACGGTCAACAAGACAAAACGACAGCCTACAGAATGGGAAAAGATCTTCACTAACCCCACATCAGACAGAGGTCTGATCTCCAAAATATACAAAGAACTCAAGAAATTGGACACCAAAAGATCACATAATCCAAAAAAAAAAAAATGGAGTACAGATCTAAACAGAGAAATCTCAACAGAGGAATCTAAAATGGCTGAAAGACACTTAAGGAAATGTTCTTAGTCATCAGAGAAATGCAAATCAAAACAACTCTAAGATTCCTTCTCACGACTATAAGAATGGCCAAGATCAAAAACACTGATGACAACTTATCCTGGAGAGGTTGTGGGGAAAAGGGAACACTTCTGCATTGCTGGTGGGAATGCAAGCTGGTACAGCCCCTTTGGATATCAATGTGGCAATTTCTCAGAAAATTAAGAAACAACCTTCCTCAAGACCCAGTAATACCACTTTTGGGTATATATCCAAAGGATGCTCAATTGTGCCACAAGGACATGTGTTCAACTATGTTCATAGCAGCATTGTTTATCATAGCCAGAACCTGGAAACAACCCCAATGCCCCTAGGCTGAAGGGGCATAAGGAAAATGTGGTACATTTACACAATGGAGTACTACACAGCAGAAAAAAATAATTACATCTTGAAACTTGCAGGAAAATGGACGGAGCTAGAAAACATTATTTTGAGTGAGGTAACCCAGACACAAAAAGACAATTATCACATGTACTCACTCATAGGTGGTTTTTAAACATAAAGCAAAAAAAAAAAAAAAAGCCTACAAACCACAATCCCAGAGAATTTAGACAACAATGTGGACACTAAGAGAGCCTTACATAGATCTAATCTACATGGGAAGTAGAAAGTAGAAAAAGACAAGATCTCCTGAGTAAATTGGCAGCATGGGGACCTTGGGGGAGAATTGAAGGGAGGAAGAGAGAGACAGAAGGGGAACAGAGAAAAATGTAGAGGTCAATAAATATCAATAAAATCAAAAAAATTTCTTATTTATTAATTTGGCTGAGGAGTGGGGGCTCACACCTGGAGGTCAGATGACCACTTGAGAGAGGTCCTTTCTCCTGAGGATGGACCTACATGGGAAGTCTTGGCAGCAGGCATCTTATGAATAGATCCAGCCCACCAGCCCATCTTTATGCCATTCTCATCCTCACTTTTGGTTTGCTCCCCTACTCTACTGTTCCTGATGTACCCTCAGCCCCCCTCCCATTCCTCCTTCCACTTACTATCACATATCCCAGGATCCTCTCCACCTATTCAAAGTCCCCCTCCCCCATCTTATGGGCCTTTCAAGTTTCATGGACACTGCCCATACTTGTCCCCACTTAAAAAAGACCAGCATGGGGGCTGGAGAGATGGCTCAGAGGTTAAGAGCATTGCCTGCTCTTCCAAAGGTCCTGAGTTCAATTCCCAGCAACCACATGGTGGCTCACAACCATCTGTAATGGAGTCTGGTGCCCTCTTCTGGCCTAAAGGCACACACAGAATAATGTATACATAATAAATATAAATATTTTTAAAAAAGAAAAAAAAAAGACCAGCATGGTTGCACACACCTTTAATCCCAGCACTTGAGAGGCAGAGGCAGGCAGATCTCTGAGTTCAAGGTCAACTGGTCTACGGAGTTAATTCTAGGAAAACCAGGGCTACACAGAAAGACCCTGTCTCAAAAACAAACAACAAAACAATCAAAAGAGAGAGAAAGAAAGAGAGAGAGAAGAAAAAGGAAACCAGGATTCGCTTATGAGAGAACATCTAAGATGTTTGTCTTTCTGAACCTGGATTACCACATTTCATGTAATATCTTCCAGTTTCATATATTTTCCTACAAATTTCATAAATTTTCTATGGTAGAATAAAATTCCACTATGTATATATACCACATTTTCATGATACATTTATCATTAGACTTTTTTAGATTATTTATTTTGCCTGAATGTATATATGTGCACCACATATGTGTGTGTTGCCTAAAGAAATCAGGGAAGGGTCTCAGATCCCCTGGAACTGGAGTTATGGATGGCCATGAACCCTATGTATGTGCTGAGAAATGAACCTCGGTTATCTACAAGAGGAACAAGTAACTCTTAACTACTAAGCAACCTCTTCAGCCTCTACTCACACCGAGGCCATTTCCATGCCCTCACTACTGTGAAAAGAAGAGAGATAAACATGGACTCCTTTGGATAGACACCAGGAATACAGAGCCAGAACACATTCTGTCCAGGTTCTGTGGAAGAGCTCCACACTGACCCACGCAGTTGTTACACTCCCACCAACAGTGAGCAGCACCCCTTTTCCCACAGCTTACCAGCATTTGTTGTAATTTGTCTCTATGATGATGGCCATTCTGATTTCAGACTGAATCTCAAAGTAGTTTTAATCTGCATTTCCTTTCATGCCTAAGATGTTGAAGTCTGACCAAGACAGACAGCTCTGTGGTTAAGAACACTGCTCTTGCAGAAGACCAGCGCTCAATTCCCAGCACCCACGCTGAATGGCATATAACAATCTGCAACTCCTGTTCCAGGATTATCTGTGATGCCTCTGGCCTCTGCAGGCACCTGCACTTATGTGCACATACCCCCCCCCCACATATACATAATTAAAAAATAATCTTGAAAAGATGTTGAATACTTTTTTTTTCTTCAAGATTTATTTATTATGTTTACAACATTCTGCCTCCATGTATGCCTGCACGCCAGAGGAGGGCGCCAGATCTCATTACAGATGGTTGTGAGCCACCATGTGGTTGCTGGGAATTGAACTCAGGACCTCTGGAAGAGCAGCCAGTGCTCTTAACCTCTGAGCCATCTCTCCAGCCCTTGAATACTTTTTTGTTTTGAGATCTCACTATGTATACAGTCTTGGCTGATCTAGAAATAGGCTATGTAGATCAGGCTGGTCTCAAATTCAGGGATGTTTTTTATCTTTAATGTGTGTGTGTGTGTGTGTGTGTGTGTGTGTGTGTGTGTGTGTGTG